GGGGGAGGGGGGTGGGGGGGGCACATTCCCTTCAGAAACAAATGTAATCCACTGCGGCTCAGATGTCGGGAGTAAATGACGACCGCTATGTTCATTATTACATCCAACAACAAAACTGCTTAGGAGTCATTCTTGTCTACATCTGCTTAAGATTAAAAAAAACACTGGGTGGATCTTTATCATTATAGGGTGGTTGTGTACACACACTGCCAGCACACATTTCAGTTCAAACAGCTTGTAAAAGTGCATGTCACATCTGATGACCCCTTTAAGCCCCGTTCACACTGCCAGTGACACGCAGTGACAAAGCGACATGATTCCATTCATTTTCAATGGAGAGCTGGTGACTTCCGGCGACAGTGACCACTGGCAACAGAATGTGGGTGTGGCGAGCGACGGGAGTCACACGACAAAATTTAAGAATAGTTTTACTTAAGTGGTATCCAATAGGAGTGAAGAATCAGTCAGTAGAGTTCAAAAAATGTTTTTGAACTCTGTTTTACTTACAGTTGCCTGCATGTTTTGATAGATACTGTTCCATATTTGATGGAAGTGAATGGTTTTCAGTGTTTTCAATGGAGAAGAAGATATTTAGGGTTAATATCACACAAAATTAATGCTGTTAAATGATTAATCATTAATGCTGTTAAATGATTAATCGCGATTAATCACATCCAAAATAAAAGTTTTTGTTTACACAATATGTGTGTGTACTGTGTATATTTATTATGTATACATAAATACACAAACATATGTATATATTTTAAAATAATGTGTACTGTATATATTTATTATGTATATATAAATACACACATGCATACATTTAAAAAAAGATGTTTTGTTTATATATAAAATATTTATATATAATATAAATTGTATATACATATACATATTTTTAAATGTATATATACACATGTATGTTTGTGTATGTATATATACATATTAAATATACACAGTACACACACATACATCATGTAAACAAAAACTTTTATTTTGGATGTGATGCACAAAATATTTGTTTTGTTCAAGCTACTTATGTTTTATTTTTCCTAATTTAATGTGTGACATGTAATAATGAATGAAGGCAGCATTAGTATTTGGCTGGTTATGTGATCTCTGTCCACACAAGGAGACTCAAGCTTTGAGAATCGAAACCAACCTGTTTGGTCTTCAGTATCTTCTTGTTTCACTTTGAATGCCTCTTCAATTTGAATGTCTTCACTCTCCTCCTTAATAAATGCCATCTTTAGTATGTCACGTGAATCTCACTTGCTTCTCCAGAAGTTTCTTCTCTGTGTTTGAGAGGAGGGAAAAAAACTGTTTGAAAAAACAAATCCAAAATTCATCTCTGAGTGCATCTAAATCAGCTCCCAAGTTCATTAGTCAGCACACTGGCACTCTAGTAACCCAGGTAGCCAGCGCAATCGGGCCAATTGCGGCTGAGTGTCGGCTCACTCGGCTGTGTTCTGACAGCGGCTCACCAAAAGTGAGCCAGCTCTGGCCCAGTAATGGTTGCCAGATTTGGCCAGGCTTTGGATGTGCAGATCTGGCCTGATTTGCACTGAGACACGGCACATTTAGCCACATTCGACCCGATTACTGACCATAAGGGCTGGTCTGATTTTGGCTGAGATATGGGCATGCAGACCCGGACCAGTTTAGGTTGAGTGCTGGGGGTGGGTCTCCATTTACAATGTGGTAAATATTGGCAACAGCGTATGTAGCAGTGACACAAACTTAAACATAATATCTTATTTTATTCCTAAGTGTATTTTTTATTTTAATTCCTATTAATATTTTTTTTCCTTTTATCCAACATTCTCTTTTTTTCTTTAACTACATTTGGAAATTAATGATTTAATTAATATAATGAAAAGCTTAAAGTGGTTAAGGGAACTTTAAAGTTGTTTTGCTATATAGTTTCAAGACATGCGCACTAGCTTTGACATCTAATGACAAAACCTGATGGGCTTTTTGTGCTGCTAATTGCCAGAAGACCAGAAGAACTTGCTACCCTGGTGAGTAAACATTTGATAATGCTTGTATGAATTTAACTTGTGCGCAAAACTGGAATATCGCATAAAACATTTGCGCACAAGTTAAATTTGCAATTTTGGATGGAAACCCGGCTACTGATGCATGCGACCGACAAATGCGATCTCCGAGATTAAATTTACCACGTGAATCATTTTGGGAAGCATTGGTTCAATTGACTTGGAGTTTCGAAAAGCTTTGTTTCTCCAATTACTATTTGCCAGTATCAGAATTAGTTTTTAAAATAAACTGATTAATGATATAAGGAGAGATGCGAGATGCACCTTTTCTGTTACTCATGTGGGTGTGTGAAATAGCAACAAAATTAACGTTCATTAATGTTAGATAAAGTAGTACAATTTCACATTTAGTAATTATTAATTCACTACAAAGTTTTTTTTAAGATGAAACATTTAAACATCAAATTTGCCTAACAGGTTTACAATGATTTAAAAATTCTTACAAACTTTTGTGCAGCCGAATCACATCTAAAGTGTTTGCTTATGACGTCATGTCACCAGACCAAAATAAAAGTTCCGTTCAGTGTTCACTTCATAAGCAAAAATTCTCTACCATTTCACATTTCTTAATTAGGGCTGGGTATCGTTCAAACATTTTCGATACCGATACTTCGACTTCGATACCGGTTCCTGAACGATACTTTTTTTTTAATACCAATTTTATGAAATTAATTTGAACAAGATTACATTATCTAAAAAAAAAACAACTTTGGTTTTATTTTTCAGCTTGTTGATGTTTATACAATCTCAAAGACTCATCTCCTGAGCCACTGCACAAAGGAACAAAATGTAACCAACAATAAATCAGTGCAAATAGTTTTAATAAAGCTCAAATAGACTTCAGTTTACACATCTGTTAGGCTACATTTACAATAGTGCGTGTTTGTTTTAAAACGCATAGCTCAGACAGAATCATGATTTCTATTTATTTTCCACTGAATAGGCTGTGCTGATCGTGGGTGTGAGGCGAACACAATGCAGATAAGGAGCTCAGACAATAAAGAAAAACAAAGTTGTTTCTCTGTTATTACAACGCACAATGCAAGGGATCGCGCATGCGCCGCCGACCCGAGAAGTGCAGTGTTGCGCTTTATGAGATGTTTATTTGCAAGAAATATAGCATATGCAACAGCCAAACAGTATGAAGAAACGTTGTGACTAATTTGCAGAGTGGTACATCAGATGCATTCTTATTCTGCTTGATGGGACAGACGGTAAAGACGCGCTGAGTTGAAAAGTGGCGTTTCACCTCACGCACAAATGCAAAGCAAATTTTTTATCCACAAACAAAAAATATGAAAAAATCTAGCTTAATTTTCGTTTTTCCGTTCTTCAGACAGAACGAAATAATACAAGTGATGATAATAATAATAATAAAATCAAACATTGTCATTTCCCTTTATTTCTTTTTGTTCGTATTTAGATTCGTTGTTAAATCAAACTTGAGTCACTCAAATAAAGAAATATATAAAGAAAGCCCAGAATCGGTATTATTAAAAAATAACTGGTTTGATCTGATCATCTAAAACAAGTCATCCTCTGGGTCTGAGCGCAGTTATTGGATGGCATATTGGAGATTAATCCTATGACGCTTCAGTAAAAATATTGCAATACATTTAAAACGGTGTCTTTTTATAACTTCAGCAGCGTGCAGATGCTCGTTTATGTCAGGACTGCGGCGACAGCAGCGCGGACAATCACTTAGTTCGCTCACATAATGAAATCTATAAAGGAAAATCATATTGTTTTTTACCTACTGTTTGTAGGCTAAAAGTATGATAAAGACGTGGAATCGGCCTATGTTCAATGTTAGTAGAGACGAAAATATTCAGAAAGTTACTTTGTACATAAATATTATTTATATATGGTAAATTAGTCTGGTATGGTTCTGTTCATCATTGATTGGGTGAGAGCAGTTCAATATTACTGGCTTTGGAAAGCAGCGGGCGTGGCTCATTATACTACAAGGAAAATGCCGTAAATAACGCGCGCTTTTGTGCAATCAGAACAGCGTTTTTTTACGGCGTCCTATGAAAAGCCGAACGGCGTTAAAAGCGGCACTTTTTACAAACACTAAAACGCCGTTAAATACGGCGTTTTTTTACGGTTTATGTGCGTTTTTTACGGCGTCTGCTATCAGGACAGCATATTTGACGGCGCTGTTTTGTATGTACACGCGATTTATCTATAGCGTAAATGTGAACCTCTTGGCTTGCCATACATTTTTGTCATCAGGAGGGCTCGCGGACAGCCACGCACCCAGTCCGCGTGCAGGCAATTTTTTTTAGACCGCATGGACGGTCCGCGTACAACAGCGCATGCGCGAGGTGAAAGTTGAGACAGAGCGCAAGTCAAACTGCGCCTGTGTCTAGCTCGTCCGTCCGCGAGACATGATTTTTAAATCAGTGTCTATCATGATAAAACCTTAATATCAAACCTATATAATGAGTTTGAATCAAACCTATAAAATGAAATTTTAGAGAAATGCTTAATAAATGCACTGTAACTAAACCCATTAGATTTTAGATGACTAAATTTACTGTAGATTTAGTCTACTAAAACTAAAAACATTTCAGATGACTAAAATATGACAAACTAAATGCCATTTTAGTCAAGACTATGACTAAATCTAAATCAAAATTTGCTGTCAAAATTAACATTGAGGAGAAAGAGATCCTCAGGACAGATAAAGAGCTGATAGCCACCGTGAGGAAACCAGCTGAGGCTGAAGCCTACAAGATGCAGCAGCTCGCAGAGGCACAGAAGTGAGTAACACGAGTGAGAGGGAATTAGTGAGATTTATATCTAAAATTGGTATATTTACTTTAAGGGAGCCAGATAAGAAAGGCAAGAACAAAGGCCTCATGAAGTCATTCTGTCTTCTGCTCCTCTCTGTCAGGATAAAGAAGGTGTTGACGGCACAGGCTGAAGCGGAGAAGATCAAGCGTATTGGAGAAGCAGAGGCCGGCTCCATTGAGGCTGTGGGTAAAGCCGAAGCAGAGAAGATGAGGCTCAAAGCTGAGGCCTATCAGCAGTATGGAGAGGCTGCAAAGACTGCCCTCGTCCTGGAGGCTCTGCCAAAGGTGTGTGGAAGTCTGGGAACTTCTGAACAAATTTGATTACAGTAATTACAGATGCAGTGTGTTTCAGTTTTTTCTTTTTCTCTTAACTTTGATCAGACCTCTCCAACACAACCAGTGGTTAAAATGCAAATGTTTAAGTTTAAGCTGAGTGTGTTTTCATTGTGTTAACGTGTCAGTGAATTTGTATCATCACAGATTGCTGAACAGGTGGCAGCACCCTTAAGTCGTACCAATGAGATTGTGATCCTGAGCGGCGACGGTGGCCGTGTTATTGGGGAAGTGAATCGTCTGTTGGCTGAACTACCTGTTTCTGTAAACGCCCTCACAGGGGTGGATCTGTCCAAGGTGAATACATGTAAACTACAACTTTTCATGTAAACTACTGTTCAAACGTTTAAAATGAAGGCTGCATTGATTTGATCAAAAATAGAACTGTAATATTATGAAATATACAGGGCTTGAAATTAACACCCACCAAATGCAGGTAAAAATCAGCTGTGGCGAGTAACGCTGTCAAATCACTAGCTAATTTGGCGGGTTACTTTTCGTAAGTTATGTTGACTTTTATGTTAAGTTATGTTAATTTCTTGGGGAAGTTCATGCAAGCCAAATCTGTGCAGGTTTAGCGCAAATACTTAACTCGTGAGACATGACATTATCGAGTATATTGCAAAAACTAAACACAACACACCTACAGAGGCACGCATACGCGACATGATGAAGTCTTGTTAGATCAACACAGGCTTTAGAGCACGTGCGCATTTAGAGTTCTTTCACTACATGATTCAGTCATTATATGCATTAAGAATGATCACTTAATTCAAGATAAGGGGCAGAAGATTTATACATATCAATTCATATAGTTAATATCACACGAAGAGTGCAGTTTTTTTTCTTTAAAAATCAGCATGGTTTCAAATGTGATATTGATTTTATACAACAGTTCAATAAACAAGTTAATATCAAGAGACTTGCGTTTTAGACACCATATTGGCTGTTTTTGCGCTATTTCTGCTCTATTTCACCAACGAAAAACATTACAAACACAGCCGCAGCACTGTTTTGCGTCTCTGAGCAAACATGGTGTTGTTTCGTTCCTGAATTAATCAACCATTTAAATGATTCGGTTCAGTCACAATTACTTACTTAACGGTGACTTGCTGCCACCTACTGGCGGTTTTAATTTCACATTTAAAGTAT